ACTTCATTTCTTAACTTTAAAATTCAATGGTTGCTCATTAGCACATAGAAATATAATTGAACTCATATAACACACTGCAGCTTAACTTGTGTGCTAGGTCAGGTAATATTTTGATTTTGCTTTTGAGACAAGGTCTCATGTAGCCCAGACTGGCTTGAACTCACCATGCTGCTAAGGAACAACCTTGGAATGAGCTTAAACTTCTGATCCTCTGGTCCCCACCTCTGGAGTACTGGGATTACAAGCATGTGCAACTACATTAAGTTTTTTATTTCGCTTTTGTTTTGTTTAGGTTTTGTTGTTGTTGTTGTTGCTCTGTTTTATTTTTTGAGTCAGGGTTTCTCTGCATAGCCCTGGATATCCTGAAACTCACTCTGTAGACCAGGCTGGCCTCAAACTCACAGAGATCCTCCTGCCTCTGCCTCCCGAGTGCTGGGATAAAGGCGTGCACCACCACTGCCCGGCTCAGGCTCCATTTTATTCTGACCCCTACAATCTTTATGGTCTCTCCCTCAGCTGTGCAAACAGTTCTGGGACAACCGGGGCCACATGAGTCTCTGTGCTGATCCATGAGTTAAGCAGAAAGCGGAAGGAGACCAATGGCAGTGCGTCTTTGCTCTGATTGGTTGGAAAGGACACCACTTTGATCAGCTTGGAGAGAAGCCAGGCCAGGCTCCCAGCTGCTTGTCCCCTGTACTGATTAGAGTTCTCTACGGGCCAGGTTCTTTTTTTTTTTTAAACATATTTATTATGTATACAATATTCTGTGTGTATGCCTGCAGGTCAGAAGAGGGCACCAGACCCCATTACAGATGGTTGTGAGCCACCATGTGCTTACTGGGAATTGAACTCAGGACCTTTGAAAGAGCAGGGAATGCTCTTAACCTCTGAGCCATCTCTCCAGCCCCCTTTTTAAATATTTATTTATTTATTCATTTATTTATTATGTGTACAATATTCTGTCTGTTTGTCTGCAGGCCAGAAGAGTACACCAGATGTCATTACAGAAGGTTGTGAGTCACCATGTGGTTGCTGGGAATTGAACTCAGGACCTTTGGAAGAGCAGGCAATGCTCTTGACCACTAAGCCATCTCTTCAGCCCCGGGGCCAGGTTCTTAAAGAGTGGGTTATTTACCTATATGAATATTTACCTATATTACCATCACAGAAAATCTGGCAACAGTACATCTGTTATGTGACACCCACATGGAGTCATTACATGTCCCTGAATTCATTGTTACCAAAAATCAATTCAAAATCAAATGTGTAATGAATCCAAAGTGCTAAACCCAAAACCTGCTGCACACCAGTGTGTGTGTATGTGCGTGTGTGTATGTGCGTGTGTGTGTATATGTGTATGTGTGTGGTGGGGTTATATGGCCCTGTCAGAAACAGAACAAAGGCTGAGGGAATCTCCATTGAGCCTAATTGACTGTCATGGGCTAAGCCTGTGGAAAGGACACGCCCTTTATGTGTGTGTCCCTGCCCAGCCAGGAGATGGCCATGTTATCTTTACATGCTGTCCACCCAGCTGGGGGTAGCTGAAAGCCCTGCCGACCATCTCCATCTTCAGCTTTCTGCCGGCTGTCAGTCATCACTTGGCCTCTGAGTCTGCAGGTGTCTGTTAACTACCCTTGTCCTCACATTTATAAGCTAGGCCTGTAGAGAATCAACCCCCTCCCAACCATCAAGATGTGACTACAGTCTTTGTTGGCGACTTTGGCTTTTGAATTTTTTGTTTTTGTTTTGTTTTGTTTTGTTTGAGACAGGGTTTCTCTGTGTTGCTTTGGAGCCTGTCCTGAAACTAGCTCTTATAGGCCAGGCTGGACTTGAACTCACAGAGATCCGCCTGCCTCTGCCTCCCAAGTGCTGGGACTAAAGGCATGCACTACCACTGCCCGGCTCTTTGTTGGCTACCTTATAGCTAGCTCCTTGACCAAGCATATATTTACATTAGAAGCTAAAGTCTGCTATCCATAGCTGTATTCCAACCAAGACCATATGCAGTGCCCAAAAGACCCAGGAGAGGTTGTCGGGTCCCCCAGAGCTGGAGCTACAGGTAGTAGTGAGCTACCCAAAATGGATGCCAGAAACCAAAATACGTCCTCTGCAGGATCAGCAAGCACTCTTAAATGATGAGCAGGCTCTACAGCCCCTCCATCCATCCCTCCTCCCTTCCTGGTGTTGTTTGTTTTATGTTGGCATATATTCATGAGTTCACTGGAGACATTTTCATTGACTGTATCATATCCTCGGGGGAGGGGGCTCAGAGGTGCAAGCACCCACACCACAATCATGAGGGTCAGAGTTTGTTCCCCAGCTCACATGTAACAAGACAGGTATACCTTCAAATACAAATATCCCCGGCTCCTATGGAGGCAGAGATGGGAGCATCTCTGGGGCTTGCCAGCCTCCAGCCTGACCAAGAAAATGTGAACCAAGATTCAGGTAGAGATTCTGCCTCAGTGAAAAGAAAGAGAGTGGCATGGCAGAGGGAGAGACTGGATGCCCTTTCCTGGCCTCCGAGTGCAGGTGAACTGGTGCATGGGAGGGGACTGGGGAGGTGGCTCAGAGGTTAAAAACACAAACTGAACCAGCATTGGTGGCTGTTGGTGGTGCACGTCTTTAATCCCAGCACTCAGAAGGCAGAGGCAGGCTGATTTCTGGGAGTTCGAGGACAGCCTGGTCTACAGAGCTAGTTCCAGGACAGGCTCCATAGAGAAACCCTGTCTTGAAAAGAAACAAAACAAAGAGAAAAAAAACACTGCCCGCTCTTCCAGGGGTCCTGAGTTCAATTCCCAGCACCCACATGGTGGCTCACAACCATCTGTAATGAGATCTGGTGCCCTCTCCTGGCATGCAGGCATATATGGTATGCATAATAAATAAAGATTTTTTTTTTGAGATGGCTTTGCCCTGTTGCAAGCGTGCAGCTGGTGCAGTCGGGACGCCACGGTTATGGTTTGCTATGGGATTTTCTATGGTCAGCTCACGGTCGTTTCTTTCTTTTTTTTTTTTAACGATTTATTTATTTATTATGTATACAGTGTTCTGTCTGTCTGTATGCTTGCTGGCCAGAAGAGGGCACCAGATCTCATTACAGACAGCTGTGAGCCACCACACGGTTGCTGGGAATTGAACTCAGGACCTCTGGAAGAGCAGTCAGTGCTCTTAACCTCTGAGCCATCTCTCCAGCCCCCAAATAAAGAAATTTTTTGTTTGTTTGTTTTTCGAGACAGGGTTTCACTGTAGTTTTAGAGCCTGTTGGAACAGTTAATCTCACAGAGATCCGCCTGCCTCTACTTCCCAAGTGCTGGGATTAGAGGCGTGCGCCACTAATAAATAAATATATCTTTTTTTTTTTAAAAAAAAGAAAGAATGGTCTTGAAATTAAGATCTCCCTGTGTCTACCGGGTAGGTGTTAAGATTACCAGTGTGCGCTGCCACAGCAGGCTTATGTAGTGCTGAGCATGGAGCCCACAGTTCCAAACAGCAACTCTTCAAACATGAGCCCATGGGGGCCATTCTCACTGACCTCATCACGTACAGCTTGTTGGATAAGTGCGGTGGTTTGGAAGAAAATGGCGCCCAAGGGGAGTGGCACTATTAGGAGGTGTGGCTTTGTTGGAGTAGGAAGTGTGTCACTGTGGGGGCGGGCTTTGAGTTCCACATCTGTCTGCACTCCCCATGCTCCCCACCACCATGATAATGGACTAAACCTCTGAAACTGTAAGCCAGCCACTTCAGTTAAACGTTTTCCTTCATAATAAAGTTGCCATGGTCATGGTGTCTCTTCACAGCAATAGAAACCCTAAGACAGAATGTCACTGGTGCTGAACTTTGAGGTTTCAAAAACTAACGCCATTCCCAGTAAACTCTCGGCCTCTTATTTAGGGATCGGATGTAAGCTCTCAGTTACAGCTTGGGCTTTCCTGCCTGCCGGTGTGACAGGCTGGTCACAGACTCACCCTCTGGCACAGTAAGCCCCAGATAAACTTCTCTGAAGTGGCTTTAGTCATAGTGCTTTATCACAGCAATAGAAAAGAAACCAAAGTGGGGTGTGGTGGTACACACCTTTAATTTGGGAGGAAGAGGCAGGAGGATTCCTGTGAGTTTGAGACCAGCCTGCTCTACAGAGCAATTTTCAGGACAGCCAGGACTACACAAGGAAACACTGTCAATAACAATAATAATAAAAAAACCCAAGAGGGAGCCCCTGGAGCTGGAGCTACAGGCAGTTGAGCCACAGGACTTGGGGTTGAGAACTGAACTTTGCTCCTCTATAAGACCACATGGGCTCCTAACTAATGAGTCCCTGTTACTTTTTAGTTTGGTTTTAAGGTAGAGTCTCCTGTAAGCCAGGCTGAGAATGACCTTGAACCCCTTATCTTCCTGCCCCCACAGAACTGTTCATCACCTCACAGCAAGACTGGAAGGAGACAGGGTCGGAAGCTTCCCCTAGGCCAGTGGTGTTTTCTGGGTCCCAACAACGTGGTTCCAGCTGCTTAGGTTAGACCACGCCAGACTCTTTCCACGGATCATAGTTGTGGAGTAACCTTTTATACTCTGGGAAGATGGATCTCTGCCAAGGCGCCTTCTGATTGGTTTAACAAAGAGCTGACTGGCCAATAGCTAGGCAGGAAGATGCTAGGCGGGACTGGAGAGAGAGAGGGAGAGATGATGAATCTAGGAGCAGGATAGAGGCCAGAGGAAACAGGAGGTGCAAGTGGAAGAGAGGTAAAAAGCCAGAAGGCAAAATATAGATTAATATAATGGATTAATTTAAGTTATAAGAGGTACTGGGACAAACCTAAGCTGTAGGCCGAGCTTTCATAATTAACTATAAGTCTTTGGTTGCTTTTCTGTGAGCCAGCGGCCCAAAGAAAAATCTGACTGCAGAGGGTCTTTGTTCCTCGATCCCCTAGTTACACCTAGTGATTTGGGGAATCCGTCTTGAGCAAGCCCTGCCTCTCATGTTTACCCCCGATTTTCCCCTTCAGGACCCACCCCGGTGAGTTTGGTACAAAATGAACTCCAAGATGATATCCACCATAGCGGGCATCTTCTCTATCCTCAATACCATCCAGTTCTTCATCTTTGATCTGAATCAGATAACACACATTGGCTTCGAAGACAAATACAGCATCTACGTGGACACAGATTCTGAGATCTCATCCTGGCCCGTGGTCTATAGGCACAACATCAGCACAGGCCTGTCCATCACCACCATCACCATCAGCTGCTTCCTCCTCTTCTGTCTCGACAAGAACATGCTGGTCGGGCTGATAATCTACGTCCTGTGGATCGCCATGTACGAGATCTTCAGCTTCGTCATGGTGCTGCTCGTCCACGGCACCATCAAGGAGCAGTTCAAGGACCTCGGCTACCTGTACCTGCTCTTGCAAATCTTGCGCATGCTCCTGCACTTCACCCCTCTGCCGTTCATCGTCAAGCACGGCTACACGCTCTACAAGGACCCCAAGGCGGTGAGCATAGCCGGCCGCCGCAAGCGCTCCTCCGTCAGCACGGTGGACTCGTGGCCGCCCATTCCTGTCGGCCTGAGCTCTTTGTACCGCAAAACAAACTGAACCAGAAGTGGGGTGGTGCTCGCCCGTGGTGGAACCCTCCCTTCCTGGCCTTCGGTCTGTCCATGCTACTTGTCTTTACTTGGCTTTTCCGGGTTTTTTGAGTAATATGCATGGTGGGGTGATATAGCCTTGGTTACCTAATGACATATTTGTATATTTGTTACCTTTGTGTTGACTATCTTGTTGGTACCTATCTTTAACTCTTTCCAAAAAATATTTAATTTTTATCTTTTTTCTTAAAGATAGGGTCTTATTATCCAGGGTCTGTAACCCTGGAACTCAACATGTAGACCAGGCTGACCTAAAAGTCACAGAGATCTTCCTGTCTCTGCCTCTCTAGGATTAAAAGTGTATGCCACCACACCTAGCAATTGTTATCAATTTTAGAGATATATTTTAAAAGTATGAGTGCGTTTGTATAATATATATGTATGAGAGAGAGAGACAGACAGACAGACAGACAGACAGACACACACAGAGATTATGTGGATGTCAGTGCAGATACCCAGAGGCCAGAAGCATAGGATCCCCTGGAACTGGCCTTACACATGGTTGTGAGCCGCCCTATGCAGATGCTGGGAACTGAATTCCGAGGTCCCCTGCAAAAGTAGCAAGTGCTCTTAACCATTGAGTCATCTCTCCAGCCCCGTATCATTTTGAATTATGTGTCTGCATGGGGGTATATGTCTGTAAGCACAGGTGCCCTCAGAGGCCGGAGACCTCGGATCCCCTGGAACTGGAACTGCGGGAGCTGTGAGCTGCCCAGCATGGGTGCTGGGAACCAAAATTGAGTCTCCTAGAGGTGCAGAGTGCCCTCTTCACCGCCAGCCCACTCCGCCCTCCCACTTCCTTTTTTTGAACTTCGTGAGTTTATGTGGATGTGCACATTCATGCAGGCAAGTGCAGGCCCCCGGGTGCCGTGTGTGCGGAGGTCGGTCCTCACCCTCCACCCTGTGTGAGTGAGGTCTTTGGACTGTGGGGCTCCCAGGAGTCTCCCATCTCCGCCTCTTGTCTTACTGTAAGAGCGCTGGGGTTACAGATGTTATTACAGATGTGTGCTTTCCTGTGGGCTCTGTGGATTCGCATGCAAAGTAAATCTTCACACTTTTGAGACAAACACTTTACCCCCTGTGCCATTTCCCATGTCTCTACCTTTTATCCCTGGTTGGCCTCCTGGCAGCCGAGGATGACCCAGACTTTCTGACCATCCTCCCTCTGGATGCTGGGATCACAGACAGACAACGAACATCATAACTCATTTTTACAGTGCTGGGGATCACGCAGGGTTTTATTCATGCTAGAAAAGCATTCTACTGGAGTTGGAAAAATGGCTCACTGGTTAAGAACACTGGCTGTTCTTCAAGAGGACCCGGGTTCAATTCCTAACACCCACATGGCAGCTCACAACTGTCTGTAACTCCAGTTTCAAAGGATCCAACACATTCACACAGACATACATGCAGGTCAAACACCAATGCACATAAAATTAAAATAAATAAATCATTAAAGAAAAAAATAGAAAGAAAAGCAGTCTACTGAGTACATCCCTAACCCCTCAAAAAAAATTTAAAAAAATGTTTGATTGAATCAGGGTCTCATTATGTAGCACCAGCTAGCCTGGAACTTACTGTGTCAGTCAGGCTGACCTGGAACTTAGGTGCACCTACCTCTGCCTCCTGAATGCTAGGCTTGAAGAGGCCACCCTTTTTTGTTTGGTTGTTTGTTGAGACAGGGTTTCTCTGTAGCTTTGGAGCCTGTCCTGGAACTAGCTCTTGCGGACAGGCTGGCCTTGAACTCACAGAGATCTCTGCCTCCTGAGTGCTGGGATTAAAGGTGTGTGCCACCACCAAGTGGGCAGTGAGCTTTGTAATAAGGGTTCTTTAGGGGCCTGGAGAGATGTCTCAGTGGTTGAGAGCCTGTGCTCTGCTTGCAGAGGACCTGAGTTTGCTTCCTAGCACCCTACCCTGGTGGTTCACAACCACTCGTAACTTGGCTCCAGAGAATCCAGTAGCCTCTCCTGGCTCCCTGGGAACATGTACTCTTGCACACATACCCACATCCACATCCACACACTGACACATAACTAACAGATAAAAACAAATCTTTAAAGTAGGGTGAGGTGGCATCTTAAAAAAAAAAAAAAAACCAAGCTGGGCGGTGTTGATGGCCTTCACTAACCTGCTAAACGCAGCCTAGAATCACAGCAACTGGCAATAGGAGACAGGGGGATATCAGGAGTTCAAGGCCATCCTCACCCACATATCACATCTCAAGTCAGCCTGGGCTGCCTGAGACCCTGTGTGGAAACAACAACAACAACAATGAAAAAGCTAGAAACTGGGTGCGGTGGGGGTCACCCTCTGTCCCTGCACCTGGGAGGCTGAGACAAGTCCGTCTCTGTTGGAAATTGGAAGCTAACCTGATCTACAGAGAGAGTTCTGTTCTACGTAAGGAAACCCCGTCTCAAAAAATAAAATAAACCTTTTGGAGAGAAGTGTTAGCCAGGTGGGGGTGCACATGCGCGGAGCCCACAGGCGGATGGCAGACGCCCATCATCACTCTTCTTTTTATCCCTTCCTGACAGGGTCGCTCAGGGAACCCGGGCTCGCTGTTTCTTGGCTAAGCAGCTAGCCAGGATAGCCAGCAAAGCTTCCTGTCTCCGACCCTAGTACTGGTATCACCGGCCTCCTGGCTGGATACTATGGTCTGAACTCAGGTTCACAACTTGGGCAGCTCTTACCCAACGAGCCATTTTCCCAGACCCCGACTCCGTCTGTTTGGACCACACTCCTCCCAAACCTGAGCAGCCTGACAGCTCTGACTCACCGAATCCAGGACAGCTAGCCGTCTATTAAGTCCATAACTCTTCCCAGCAAGCTACAAGAAATTAATTTGGACCCCGGACAGTTTTCCAAATCACCACTAGATGGCAATCGGTGACAAGTTTCCAGTTGGTATTGTTGGCCAAAACCAGATCGTCCAAGCAGAGCTGAAACCTGCCCCAGAATCTAACCCTAGAGTCTGTGGCAGAACTGGAAACTGGGGAACCTGTGTGCCAAAAAGATGGAGTAAGGAGAGCTCCAGAGAAAACTCAACTAAGAGATACTCGAACTGGGCCATCCCATCTGCTGAGGACACTAAGGCAGGAGGATCAAAAAGTTCCAGACCCCCCTGGGTTAGAGTGAGAACTCAAGACCAACCCCGCACCTTAGTGAAACTATCACAAAAGAAAAAGAAAAAGAGGGCTGGACTGGGGAGCTGGCAAGATGGCTCTGCAGGCTACAAACGTTTGCTGCCGGAGCCTGGAAGCCACCCGTAGTGGAAGGGGAACCCGTGCACCAGGGCGCACAGAGACACAGTAATATTAGCAGTAAATACATATTTACTTTTAGAGGTTTTTTTAGTTTGATTTTGGATCTTCGAGACAGGGTTTCTCTGTAACTGCCCTGGCTTTGCCCTAGAATTCCCTTTGTAGACCAGGCTGGCCACGAACTCAGAGATCCGCCTGCCTCTGCCTCCCAAGTGCTGGGACTAAAGACGTGCACCACCGCCGCCGGCATATTCTTAGGTTTTTAGGAAGAGAAGGAAGGTGCTTGGTGTAGGAAACTCTAAGGCACTGTACAAAAGTCAAGTTCCTAAAAATACCCAAACCCCCAAAGGCATGGTTTTCCCTACCTCCTGCTTTCTATTCACAACTCTGTTCCCCTCTGGTCCAACCTTCACACTTCCCTTCCACGGAGGCTGCTTCTGTTAGGGTGGCCCCTCCTTGTCTAATCCTGAATTCGCCATCATCACCTGCCAACAGGTGTCTCTCTTGGCTCATGAACACCTATATATCTGCACACACTTACATACACACATACACACACACACACACACACACACACAGCTCCAAATGTCAGGGCTCAGGCCCACTCTCCCCTGGCCTTCCCTCTACACTGATGAACCCCACATATGCCTCCAGTTTTGACCTCTCCGAAATCCAGTTTGTTTATGCTACTGCTTCCTGAGGTGGTAACCTTCCTCCCTTAGGGGGTAACCTTTCTCTCCTAGCTCAGAAAGAGCCCAGTCAGGGCATAAGCCCTTTGAACAAACAGTCTAATAAAGGGATAAGATGTTGCTTCCATAAATAAAGGGATAAGACTCACTTCCCACAGGTTGTCCTCTGACCTCCACACTCCTACACCCTGGCTCTGCAGCCCACACCCATACATACACACACATAAATATATAAATGTGATTTTAAGGTCTATTTAAAATTTTTTTTATTATTAAGCCATTTGGTGGTGGTGCACATCTTTAATCCCAGCACTCAGGAGGCAGAGGCAAGTGGATCTCTGAGTTCGAGACCAGGCTGGTCTACAGAGCGAGTTCTAGGACAGCAAGAGCTACACAGAGAAATTCTGTCTCAAAATAAAAATAAATAGAATAAACAAAATCTTGGCTAGGCATGCACTCCAGAGGCAGAGGCAAGCAGATAGATAGATACCTTTGCATTCAAAACCAACCTGGTCTGCATAGTTTCAGGCCAGCCAAGATACACAGTGTAACCCTCTATTAGAAAAACAAATTAAAAAATCAAGTCTTTAAAAATATATATTATATTTGTTTGTCCGTTAGGAGGGCTGGTGTGCAGTGGAGCACATGTATGGGTCAAAGGACAGCTTCTGGAAGTCTGCTCTCTCCTGCCACACGCATTCCAGAGTGTAGATTCGATTGTCAGGCTTGGCAGCAAGCACCAAGACCCAATCTATCTCACACACCCTGAAAAACTTTTTTTCCTTCGATTTTTTTTTATTTCTTTCCTTTCTAAAAATTTATTCATTATGTATGTAATGTTCTGCCTGCAGGTGTGCCTGTCGGCCAGAAGAGGGCGCCAGATCTCAAGACAGATGGTTGTGAGCCACTCTGTGTTTGCTGGGAGTTGAACTCAGGACCAATCATCTCTCCAACCCCTTAATTTAACTTCTTTATTGACTCTTTGGGAGTTTCACATCATGCACTCCAATTCTGCTTACCTCCGGGTTCCCCCATATCCTCCCCTCATCCCTGCCGTGCCCCCCACAAAAGAAAACAAAACAAAGCAAACAAAGAAAAGCAAGTAAATGAGCAAAATCATAGAAACAAAACAAAGACCCCAAAACCAAACCAAAACAGCAACAACATCTCTGTTTCTTCTTCTTTGCAATGAACTTCTTTGCAATGAACATTTGCCCGTAAAGCTGATGGGACAAAGGGGTACACTAGGTGTCACCCCAAAGCCTCCAATGCCACCAGGATGAATGAAGAGATGTTAGAGAGGCTGGAAAAAACTTTTCTTAATACCATAAAGATTTCAGTGCAGCTGGTACCAAGAAGCCCTG